TCCTCCACCTCAAGAGTTGAAAGGGATTTTTGAAGGCCATCTTGGCCAAACCATACCTAAAGAAGAATTCTCTCTATAATATCCAACATTTACCTAAAGAGCCCCTACTACTTTTAGAAACAGCCCATTCCAACTTTGGAATAGCTCTAATTGTTAGGAAGTTTCCCTTTAAATCAGACATAAATGTGCCTCCAGTTTGCAACTTCTACCCAGTGCTCCTAGTAATGAAGTATAATTTCTCTTTACGTAGAGCAGTATATGTTCTTCTAAGCATTTCTTCCCTAAGCTAAACATCTGCAGGTCTTGGATAGGATCCATTAAATCATGAAAATCTCAAAGCCCTTTACAATACTGGTTGCCCTCCTAGATTCCCTCCAGCTTTTCTATTTCCTTCCTAACATATGGTGCCCTAAAATTGAGGGGAAAATATTTCATATGAGTTTACTAGGATACAGGACTCTTCCCTCCTGGTCCTTTCTCTCAATTCAACCTAAGATCACATTTATCTTTTCTGATCACACTGCTAATTCATATCAAGCTTCCAATAAAATCCCCATATATTTTTCAGATAAATTGCTATTATCTGACTCTCCTCTTCTATCTTATACTTGTATAGTTTGTTTTTAACCCCAGCATATATCCCAATTATTAGATTGGAGAATCCTCTTAGCTTTGCCTCATCTGTGAATTTAATTCTGTTGTTCAGTCATGTCCCACTCTGGGATCCCATGGACCATACTGTCCACAGGGTTTTCTTGGCAAAGATACTGAAGTGGTTTGCTATTTCCTTCTTGAGTGGATTAAGACAAACAGAGGTTAAGTGATTTGCCCAGGGTCACACAGCTAGTTAAGTGTTCAAAGCTGGATTTGAACTCAGTTCTTCCTGACTCCAGGCCCAGCTCTCTATCCATGGAGCACCTAGCTGCCTCTGTGAGGTGACTAGCAAATTATTATTATTATTAATTCCTTTCCCCCAAGGAACCAGTATTTTTGGAAGGGTTCCATAAAAGAAACTCACAAAAACATGAAAGGAGGTAGATGGTTTGTATTCTCTCAGTTAATACATTCTAAATAAAGTACAGAAAAGGATAACATTTTTTAATTATCACAAAGTCAAGGACAGATCCCTGAAGCATTCCATAGGACACATTCCAAGTCAGTGAGGAACCATTAAAGACCACTTCTGAGATCTTACTATAAAATCACCTAATGTACATTTTACTACACTGCCCCCAGAACATAATGAAAGCCATTGTCAATCACTTTGCTAAAAATTTTTTCGAGGCATACTACCCAGTCAAAAAAGAAATTGAGTCAGAGGACCTAGACTTTAACCCTAGTTCTTGTCATGTGCTAACTTTGGGAAGTAACTAAAATGGAAACTCAGTTTCCTCAGATGTAAAAGGAAGGTAATAACATTTGAACTGCCTACTCTCAGGACTATTATCAAGAAAACACACCATAAAGAGCCGCATAAAGGTGAGCAAATAATTCTGCCAAGAGTAAACTTTCAATTTAATCAGACACTGTGAGTTTTTCATCTGTGTAAGTTTTGAAGCCAACTGATGTTTTTAGGAGATTACTGTTTTAGTTAGGGTTAGCCTAGATAGTCTCAGATCTTGTCCAATTCTGATTATAGGATTCCAATTCATAAGGAGGATAGTTAGGAGACTACCACTACTGAAGGACTTGTTTTCCTTCACAAGATACTATTTATTTTGTTTAGTAAGTATTCTTGGTCATCAGTTTAGACTTCAGAGATGCTAAGTTTGATCAAATGACCAAAACTCTTATAAATGGAGTAAATGTTACTAATCAAATTGCTTTTGGGTTGTAGCAATTTTATTATTATTTTTTATTATTAATTTATTCTGATTTACCAACAATCACTTCCATAAGCTTTTGAGTTTTAAAATTTTCTCCCCCTTCCTTCCCCCAAGACAGCAAACAATCTCATACAGGTAATTCTATTATTTCAGCACAAGGATAAAAAATTTATTAAAGTGAAGGTAAAATGATAATGTTTAAAATTCTGACCACTTTTCATCAATCACCTGAGTCCCCAAACCAACTTAACTCCTCTACAACATTAAAAAGGATTTATCCTTCCAAAACAGCGACACGAAGTAAGTTAAAAAATACATATATTACACTGAATCATTATAATGGAAATAATCTGTATCCTCTCCAGGTCCAAAATAGTAACACTTTTGTGCTTTGGTAAAATAAATTTCTTACAAAAAAATAATTCTGTACAATAAATATTTTCTCATGACCTAGTGCTACAACAAAAATGAGGGAGTAAACTAAGCTATAGCTCAGCTGCACAGCTCTGTGCTGGACCAAAGAGCAATTACTTCTCAACTTTTCCTGGGTGAACATCCTAACCACCCACCAAAAAATCCAAAACCCCAAAATAACACAGAAACATCCAGGAAGTAAGGAATGATTGTAAAGACACGTGCCATACATTCACCTTACTTTGCCAAACTTTAAACTTAATTCCCGACCACCAGTGTTTAGGAGCTATAGCATAGTTTATGAAATTTAAATAATCAGAAAAAATGTGACTACTTTGTGAAGTTTATCATACCATTTGACTTGGAACAGTTATTAAAAGCTTGTCCTTAAAACCATACATGAGCTAGATGAATATATGCAAAAAAAATTCATTTTGATTTCAATAAACATTTTCATTATAACAAAACAAAAAAACTGTAACAAAAAACATTCTTAGATATTATCCTGAGTTTTATGAGTATTATTTATGGATCCCTACTTTCAAAAGGGCACACCTAGAGAATTCGTTTACTAAGGCACATCTAAACACTCTACAGAACAAAACAAATCACATATAAAAGGTTTACAAATAGCTTTCCTCACCACAACCTCCACAGTGAGGCACAGTGCACATCAAAACAGTGACAGCACGTACCAAAAGCAGTGTATAGAAAAGAGCACACTGTGAGAGGACCTAGATTGAAATGCCAGCCTCACACTTAACATTTCTGTTTTTAAGTCTCTTAAATTCTCTTTCATATGTGAAGTGAGGAGTTTCCCAGTAAAATCCTTCTCGAGATCCCCCTTAGTGCTACTGTCTATCCACAACTGGAAAATTATCTCCAATTTATCATCTCTGAATCTTGTCTGTACACAGTTGTTTTCATTCGGTCTCTAGAATTTGATACTATGTCTTTTGTTTTTGCTTTTACTCCCTTAGACAGGGTGTGATAGATAGTAGGTACTTAATAAATGGTAGCCGACTGATGGCAAAATAAAGATAATGGAACCATAGCCTTATAGCTGGAAAAGTCTTTGAATGTAAGAGTCAAATCAAGCATATATTAAGCACCTACTATGTGCCCACCTTTGTGCTAAGCACTGGCGATACAAAGATATGCAAAAAAAACCCCAGGCTAACTAGGAACAGGACACCCCAAACAACCATACAGAAACAATATACTTCACAGTACATTGCACTTTACAGGGCAAATTAGAGATAATCTACAGAGGGAAGGCACTAGTATTACGGTGGACAGAAAAGCTTCTTGTAGAATTTGGGATTTTTTGCACTCGAAGAAACTGAGGCTGAGATGTTTAATCGCCTTTCCTGAGTTGAAGCACTACTTCCTGAGAATCGAAGCACTATATACCCTTCACAAGATATTATTTATTCTCCATCAGTAGTCTAAATTTTCAGTCATCAGTTCAGACTTTTCAGATAATTTGCTTGGATCAAATGACCAAAACTTTAAAAACGGATTAACTTTTGCTATTCAAATTATTTCTGAGCTACAGTAATTCTATTATCTCACATACGGATCAAAAAATATACAAGTTAAAACTCATTAAAAGAATTAACACTCCAACTCGAGTCCATTCCTACTCCACAAGAACAAACGTCCTTTGCAGCAGCTTCCCCTCGAAATGCAAGCACAGTTCAGGTCAACTCCTCCCTTCCCCCCCCACCCCAAGCCCCGGCCCGACGCCCGCTCAGTAGGGGCTCCGTAATGACTCTCCTCCAACAACTCAATTCCACAGAACCCCAAGTTTTTAGCCTCCCGCCTCCGTTTGGGGTCTCAGCCTTCTCAGGATCCCAGATCCCACCAGCTCTAGCTTCGGCTCGGGGCAGAAAACAGCAGTAACTCCATCCGGACTTGTGGAATCACAACGCCGGGCCGGGAGGAAGGCTCCGCTGGAGAATGGGCTCCCGCTCCATTAGGACCCCCGGGTGCTAGGGACCCCCGCAACTGCCCCTCACTTTGGATAAAAACTACCCGGCTGCCCCCCCCCAATACAAAGTGGATTAGGAAGAAAATGGGGGGAGCTTCCCTGGGGGCCAGGGGCGGTCCACTCCGAGGGTGGCCCCTCCCCTCCCAAGCCTCAGGTTAGGCTTTCCACCGCCTTCTCCCCACTCCTCGCAGCTCTCCAGCGGCAGATCCCAGTCCACACACCTCGTCCCGCACTTGGTTTCGTCCCCTGACCCAGTCCATCCCCCCCCTCCTAACCCCACGTTTGGTCCGGCCCGCTGGCTCTTGACAATCCCGGTACTTGGTTCGACCCGGCAAGCCAACGGCCCCTTCCCCCATAAACTGGGGCACTTGGTTCCACCCACTCACTACCCGCCTCCCCCTCGGCCCAGCGATTTGGTCCGGCCCGACCCCTCACCCAGAGACATATCAATCTTATCGAGGTTTTCGTGGCTGCTGGTCTTCAACGGCGGCGGAGTCGCCACCGCGGCCGCCATCCCGACGCCGAACCCGTTCATCGCTCTAAGTGTCTTCACAGGAACTTGCCACTGAGGAAGGCCTGCGTCTCGACCCGGCCACCTCCCACAGACTGACTGAAACAAGTAAAGCAGAAGAAGCGCGCAAGCGCGGTGGCGTCCTTACCCTCCCACCCGGCGCAGGGGAGTGGTGGCAGGGAGGGGTGAGGAGGTGGGAGGGGTCGTAAGAGGAGCAACCATCGAGAGGAGATTACGGCAAGAGAGGCTCCATTTCCGGGTTTCTTTTCTGGCGCCCCCCGCAGGCCAGTAGGAAACTCAGCAACGCTTCTGCAGCTGGAGGTATCCCAGGAGTCGTATCGGCTTACGGGGGTAGTTCCTCAGCTCAAATTAGTTGACGTCTGCCCCCCCCAGGAGGGGAGGGGAGCGTCTATCCACCAAGAACTGCATGCATTACATGATATGATGTTGCTTCCATCTCCTTTTAGTACCTCCACCTGCAGCAAGACCTCTGTAGACTATGGCACCTGCAGCGAGACGCCTGCACCTCTGCACTGCATTGCAGCCGCTTTCAGGTGCAAAGCTGGACCGCGGTGGGGTTCGGGTTTAAGCTAGCCCCGAGTCAAAGCCCTCCAAGTGAGAGAAAGACCTGTGGCCAGCTCTCCTCTCCACTCCCTTCTCTCTCCTTGCAGGATTGTTTCCCCTGCAATAATTCAACGTCTCCAAGTCTGTGTGGAAACCTGTATGGTAGTGACAGCTCATGCATCACCTTCGTATTTCCGGACCATCCTGGCCGTTTCATAGCATGTCGCATAGCCCTAGTGACTGTTATAAAGACCTCATCCTCTCTTGGGAGAAAGGTAAGTAAATTCGAATTTTTATGTTCAGTTTTCCTCTAATTACCCTTGGGATTTGGATTCCAAGGTTTTCCCTTTTCTTTCTAGAGACTCCATAATTAAAATGATGATGGTGATCCTAGTTATTAATGAGGATAATAAATTGATGGAATTTTATAACACTTTACAAAAGCTTTACAAAATAGCATCTTAAATGAATTAAAAAATAAAATTGTTAACATCTGATGAATTTTTGTATGCTCAAATTTTCCCTCAATTCAAAATGTAGTTGGTATTAACTATTCCAGAAGACTAATGATGAAACATGCCACCCCACATCCTGATAGAAGGGCAAAAGACAGAGTGCTAAATGAGACATTTTTTTTGACATGCCCAATGTAGAAATTTGTTTTGCTTGGTTATACATGTTTGTAACAGATTTTGTTTTTCTTTTTCTCAATGGGGTGGGAGGGAGAGAAGGCAGATTTTTGCTGATTAAAAACATATATATAAGTTAAATTCAAGCAAACGAAATTGTAGTTGGGGTAAAAACATTAAAAAAAGAAAACCACACAATCTCAAACATTTGCATCTGAGGTAAAGTGGGGTAGGATGAGGCATTTCTCTCGTTTTGTTCATACAGAAATCTCTTCTACCTTCCTCACTCCCTTTGTCCACACCTACAATAGACTGGTTCTGCAGTAACTGGTAGATCTACTTATAAACTACATAGATGTCTGGAAATCCCAATAACATCAAGGAAGATAGCTAGATTTAGTAGCATCAGGATGTCACCAGGATATATGTTAGCCATGCCTGTGTTATTTTCCTTCTCAACTGTGTATCAGCATTGGAGATTTTGTTTGAAAAATTATAACATAGGGGACAGCTAGGTGGTGCAGTGGATAGAGCACCAGCCCCGGAGTCAGAAGGACCTGAGTTCAAATTCAGCCCAAACACTTGACACTAGCTGTGTGACCCTGGGCAAGTCACGTAACCCCAACTGCCTAGAAATTTTAAAAAAAATTTTTTAAAAAGAAAAATTATAACATAAAGTTACCTACAATGTTACCTCCCTTTTGGCTAAGGAATTACCTATGGATAAAGTGGTAAATCTGGAATGTAATTATAGCCCATCATCACTGTTCTCATATTATGGTTGTAGCATAGGAAAATTTGATACTGGAGGGAAAAAGTCTAAATATTGAAAGTATCAATAACATTATTCCATATGTCCAGGATAACTAGAGTTAAGGTGAGTGTATACTGCTTTGGAGCTAATGAAAGATAGTTGGCAAAGAGAGTCTGGCTTGCCTATTGAGAATCAGTTAAGGTCATCTTAGCTTCAACTCTAGAGGCTGGCTTTTATTAGTCTATGAAGTGGTGCTCAAGCTCTGTGTAATTGATTCACACTAACCCAACTCGCAAGAGACCAACTCATAAAAATCAGAATGACATTTTATAAATTTACAAGGAAAAATATAATTGCCAAGTGGACCAGATGCTCACAGATTTCATCAGATCAGAGCATTATTTTTTTTCTCATTGGCAAAACCAAAATAAAATAGTAGATTACTTTGTGACAGTAATGCTTGTTGTGATTCACATTTATGTGGTTCTTTAAGGTTCATAAAGATTTCCTCACATATATAGCTCCAAAGAAAGAGAGTTAGAAGAACTTAAGGATAATGTGTTATGTGTTCAGTCTATAATAGCTTAATGTATCCTGTTTGTGTAGTGATATGCCTGATAAGCCAGTAGAATACTCTTGTTGATCAAGTAATCATTCTTGTCTAGGCAGTGCTAGACAAACATTGAGAAATTCTTTGTAGATACTCATGCAGAGCCAAGGCCCTACTTCTGTTATGTCAATAGTATCCTAGATTGTTACATTTGATTAATTATTACATTTTAATCTTTCCCTAAGTTCCATTTGAGAGAAATTTTGATCTCATCAATCAACATACAGTTATTATTTAATAAGCACCTACTGTATGACAGGCACTGTGCTAGGCACTAGAGATACTAAGACAAAAACATTGAAGAATACCCTGCCCCCATGGAATTTATAGCTGCCAGACAAGATAATTAGTAAATGAGAGTTAAGGAAAATAAGTTTTGAGGTAAAAAGAAGGAAGAGAGCTACAGTGTATTACAGTGGGGTAGAAGAGTGTCATGGGAGTGATAACACTTGGTTTGGGCCTTGAAGAATAGGTATGATTTGTATGGGTGGGGAGCATTTTGGAATGGGAGGATAGATGGCATTATGGTTATAAGAATGCACTGGTTCTTATGCTTTTTTTTACTTATGGCACCATAATTTCTGCCATGAAGAATTGCTACACGTTAAGCATTTCAGTTGGCAACACCTTGAAAGACACATTTATGCAATTTCCCTTCCATAAGAGCTGCTATTTTTATGAAGTTCTTTGCACATTCAAGGTGAGTCATGTTTTGAGGATAGTGTATACATAGAATAGGCAAGTTTTGTTAATTTTCTGAATATGTTCTTACCATTCAAAGTATTCTAGGTTAAGTAAAATTCATATCAAACAAAATTATTTTAAAATTTTCTTTAATCTGAAGTAACACACCATCCCAAATCCTAAAGTACACCTTTTGATAGGCAACAAGAAGAACATTAAAAAGAAAACATAGTGGAAGAAGACTACAAGACACCTTGTTGTTGTTATTGTTCAGACATATCCAACTCTTTTTGATGCCATTTTGGGTTTTCTAGGCAAAGATACTAGGATGGTTTGCCATTTCTTCAGCTCATTTTACAGATGAGGAAACCGAGGCACACAAGGTCAAATGACTTGCCCAGGGTCACACAGCTAGCAAGTGTCTGAGGTCAGATTTGAACTCAGGATGATGAGTCTTCCTGACTTCAGGCCCAGTACTTTTATCATATACTGAGCCACCTAGCTGCCCAAGGCATCTTTAAGCAACAGTGAATATAAGATTTTAAAAGCTAATGGAAGAAAGGTAGATTAGAAATAGATCGTGGAAGGAACTTTGGTGAACTTTGGCTGCAGTGGCATAGAGTATCTTCAGAATACTTAGTTAATTGAAGTGATGCGGATTGCTCAAAGTGGGGTAGAAACTGGGGGCAAGGAAGCCATCTAGGAGGTTGCTGTATTAGTCTACAAGATGTTAGATGATCATGTTCAAAATGTAGACGGACATGAGAAACATTACATAGGAAGTATCAGCAGGACTTGGGTGACTGAGGGGCAATGAAGGAGAACTCCGCTGAGCTTCCTTCGAAATGTATAAGCAGATGTTTACAACCCTGACCCCCCCAGGGAGAACAGACTGGCTTCCTCCATCTCAGCAGTCAAGCAATCCTATTATCACAAATAGCTGTGACCAAACAGGCAGTGACCAGGATAGCTGGGTTTAAAAAATTTGATGCATGAAACCAAATAGAGAGGGAATGTGGATAAGGCAAAGCAAATCCCTTATCTCCTTTTAAGTAGCACCTTCATGATCTCCAGCCTAGAAGGTACACTGATGCAAAAATCAACTTCAGTTGCAACACACGTTTCTAAAATCTAAAACACATTTTCAAAACAGAAGGAATGGGAAATAACACTATTTTAAAAACAAACTTTTAAAAAGAATTAACATGAGGGGCAGGTAGGTGGCGCAGTGGATAGAGCTCTGGCCTTGGAGTCAGGAGTACCAGAGTTCAAATGCAGCCTCAGACACTTGACACTAGCTTGTGTGACCCTGAGCAAGTTATTTAACCCCAATTGCCTTGCCAAAAAAAAAAAAAGAATTAACAGACAGGAGGATTTCTCTTTAATCCAGGGAGGACAGGACAATGGGTAATTGTGGCAATATTGATTTGTAGATGTGCAGAAAGGATGTCTTGGGTTATATTGCTTTAGCATTGATTCAGGTTACTTTTGGTACTGTTCCTGATACTAGGCTGAAGATCTGTATTCCTGAGGCTAATTCTAGATCCTCCTCTCTGAAAATATCCTACTCCCTCCCTTCCCTTTCTGGAAGGTAGATATAATACTCAAATAATTCCTTATGGTGGATAGCTTTCACAGATGGACAATTGACTGCTTTATAATGATTCCTTACATCTTCAGTTTCCAAAGGTGACATTTACTAACTTTATCTCCCAGTTTTGGATGTATTCCTTTGGTTGAGGGGTAGGGTTGCAATCCCCTGTACATTGCCTATGTATTCCAAAGTAATAATTCTTCTCTGATCCCCAGAAGTTATTTGCTTGACTTTGAAGCTCATAGGACCATGTAATTATTTGCTAGCACTCGTGAGAATCCACAAATAACACCAACAGAGGGTATTCAATGAATATGGATTGTTGTACAACTTAATTTTTCTACTATGATACTGTGAATTGTGTCACCACATATTATTAAGTAATCAAAATTGCAGGTAAGCCAAAGAACAGTAGAGAGAAATGATGTAAAAATAATTATAGTAGTAATAGCTGACATTGAAAGAGAGCATTAAAGTTTGCAATAGCTCTTTGTATATTACTTCATTTAATCTCTCAAGCTCTGGATCACTCTTCTTGTAACAAAAAATTCAGTAACATGATTCTGAACTCTGAAATTCCCTAATCTGATCCTATCCTCCTGCCCATCCATCTTTTCATCTCATAATTCCTAACCTATTCTTTGTCTTTACTTCAACCTATACACCTCCTTACTCCTCCCTGTTCTTCCAATCCATCAATGCAGGTCTGGCCTCTGTACTGGCTCCCTTGGTGATATCATCAGCTCCTATATGTTAAGCTATCATCTCTATGCAGATATTTCCCAGATCTATATATCCAGCCCTATGCTCCCACCTGAGCTCCTGTCTCTACCCCCATATCCCTTTTGGACATCTCAGACAGGATGTCTCATAGGTATCTCAAACTCAATGTGTCTAAAACAGAACTCGTTATCTTCTCCCCAAAACCCTCTCCTCTTCCTGGTTTTTTTGTTCTTCCAGTCACCCCAGCTCATACCCTTCCTTTATTAATTTTTACTTTTGAA